CCAAGCATATCAAGCAATGAACTACATACTGCAGTGCTCACCTTGAAGTATGAATACCATCTTGGGCTTGTGTGAATCTTGGTAGGAGTCCGCCCAGTTGGTGACTTGATCATCTCTCCTCTGAGCTCCCCAACAACATACAACACTTGCTTGAAGTACCTTGAGATGGTCTCCATTGACTTCCTGAACGTGTTGTGGGTAACCCTGAACCTCTGGTTATGGCCAACAATATGAAGGAACATGGCGACTTGCTCTTCCACACTGGTGTGGATGCTATCTTCTAGCAGCCTCCTGGTCCTGAAGGTCTGAACAAGTCTGGCAAATGGTGATATTTTCATTCTAAGCATCCATAGAGCCTCTGTATCGTTGCAGTTGTATATGTAGTTTAGATTGGCGATCCTCTCCTGCTCCTGCATAAGCATTGAAGCATATCTGATGACAGGTCTCTCGGCACGACGAACAACTCTCTTGTGCATGAACATGACCCATGCCTGAATCATAGCTATCAGTGCTCCTGCTTGAAATACCAACCACATCTGTGCGTCCATAACCTAGTCCACATCGAGGGTGCGTTGAGCAATGGGAAAATCGATCCTACACCTTGTCTAACGGCCTAACAACACACATAACTTAGGGGACGGGCGATGTTGCTTACCGGCATCAGAGACGAGGACGACGAAGGGGGATCACGGCTGAGTGAAGGACGATTCGGCAGTTTCTGACTCGCTAGGAATTGCCGATTCGACAGTTTATGACGAGCCAGGCTGAGGGCTGCTTTAAGCTTCGTGCGGATGCGAGCCAGCCCACTATGTGCGCAACCAAATGCACATTTCGTGGCCCAACTGGGCCTGGTTGCGATTTCGTGGGCAACCAAACGTGCCCTAAGGTATGATTATTTGTTTCTCCCTACACAACTTCTTCTCCTACATTTGTTCTCATGACAGCCTCTCTCTTCCACCGGAGCCTCAACCCTCCATCCATTGTTGTTCCAGGTCCTTTTCTTCTCCCTTTTGCGGTGGTTGTCGCCATGACGTTCAACCCTTACACACATCCTTTGATTTCCTCTCCCCCTCTATCCCTCTTCGTCTTTCTCAATTGCCCTTCTGTTTCTTCTCGTCCGTGTCGTGTCTAAGTCATTGTCAGGCGAATGATCGCGTCGAAGATTTCTATTTTTTTTTCAACTAAGCTTGAACCAGGGGGGCTTCTAAGCCTGCACGTGCTTTGTTTGCATTTGTAGCACTGATAGCAAATCGGCATGGCCAATCGAGGGCGTTGATGCGCCATCCAACGGCTCACGCATCGTGCGGCACAAGAAAAAAGAGGCGTCACTTGCCGAAGCTACCCGCTTCAGTCCCGAGCTCTCGGACCCAGATGGCATCCGCCTCGCCGGAACCCGCAGCGACCGAGACCGGCGACTCCGTCAAAATCCGCCGCCTAGAGATCGCCGACCGCGAGAGGGGCTTCCTACCCCTCCTCTCCCAGCTCTCCTCCTGCCCGGACCTCACCGAGTCCGAGTTCGCCGCGTGCTTCGCCAACCTCGCGGCCCTCGGCGACGACCACGTCATCCTCGTGGCCGAGGACCCCGCCGCGGCTCCGGAGCGGCGGATCCTCTCCACGGGGTGCCTCTTCGTGGAGCGCAAGTTCCTCCGCGGCGGCGGCAAGGTGGGGCACGTGGAGGACGTGGTGGTCGACGCCGCCGCGCGCGGCCGGGGGCTCGGGCTCCGCGTCGTGCGCCGCCTCGTGGAGACGGCGAAGGACGCCGGCTGCTACAAGGTCATCCTGGACTGCACCCCGGAGCTGCGCGCCTACTACGCCAAATGCGGCTTCGTGGAGAAGGGGGTTCAGATGGCCGTGTACTTCTGAATTCTGATCCATCCATGGGGTAATGCGCAACAGAGACTGCATTTCTTTGTCCCGTCGCATCTATCCCTTTGTCTGTGGCAATCTGTTATCATATCATTATTCTGAACTTGTCTGTGTTAGTGACTGAGAATGCTATTTATGGAATCCCAACTTTATCATGTGGCTGTATGGCTTTGGCCTGTTTCTGCTGCGTTCATAAAAGAAAATTCCGTGCTATATTGTCTTGGTTAAATAACAGCGATAATTCTGTCGCTACTATAATGTTCCAAATATAGGCCAGTTAATCGCCATCTCGGTCAGTTAATTGCTACTCAGGTGGGTCACCGAATAGCCGATAGTAACTGATTTATCAGCCGATTAACTGCTGATTCGCCTATTTATCCCTACTCAGCACCTGAAGGTACCAGTTACCGATATCCTGAACATTGCCTACTAGTGTAAATCTTGAAAGTTACTACTAGTTCTTTCGGTCAGTAAAGCTGTCGGGCTAAGCTTTGCCAACCATAGACAAGTGAACCGGGGATTTTCTGTTAGAGCTGAATGAAGTTCTATGCATAGTACTGTAGATTGTAAACCATAACACCATCATAGTACCTGGTAGGAGCTGCTATAGTGAATCAAATCTTTCTAGGCATTTACCAAATGAGCTAGCATAGACACATAATCATGCCTATTCAATCAAATTCTCTGTCATAAAGGTAATCATGTCTAACAGTGTACTGTTATTGTTGCTGAAAGAACTTTTGGTACCGAGGCTCTTGACTCTTGAGGTTTCACTTTTAGAGATTAGCCAACTGATGCCCCGTGTAAATATTCAACATGCATCACCCTATGGTTTGAGACATTTTGTGGAGTGCATGCTATTATGGTTCTACGCAGCTGGGTGACACTGCTAGGGTCCTGGAGACGGTATCAAGATAGCCTGTGCATTTGCAGGAACATGATAAGTACTCCCTCCATTCCAAAATATAGTGCGCCTGCACTTTCCGAGGTCCAACTTTGACCATAAATTTAACCAACGAGACCGACTGCGGCGGGAGAAAAAATTATATAGTTGAAAACTTCTTTTGAATACGAATTCACTGGTATAACTTTTGCTCCGTCGCAGTCGGTCTCGTTGGTTAAATTTATGGTCAAACTTGAAGCACGGGAATAGAGGAAGCACTATATTTTGGAACGGAGGGAGTAGCAATTACTGGTGGATGATGACTTGTCAGATACTTATGGGTTTGGTTTCTGGAATGCTTATTGGCTTATATTTTCACTTCCATTTTCTGCTGGTGATATGTGACTGAGCGAGTACTATCCTCCGCTCGGAACCCAACCACAGTTTGAATTTGCTAAATTGGTACCCAAGACATTACAACTTACAAGCCAGTTCAACACCTTCAGCATTCGGCACTTCTAAAAGGTTATTGGAAACCAATTTGTTAATCATTACATGAAGAGTTATTGGAAACTAATTTCTATCGTGGGCATTTGCTAATCTCTTTTCCCATTATAGGTTGTGTGGAAATATAAATCTTGCAATATAACCTTCTAGTTTGCTTTACACCAACTTCCTTGGTCATGATAAAAATAATTATGTTGTTTCAATTGTTATTTGGTTTCCAAGTCAACTCAATTTGGAGTTAACAGGGTCAATGTAGCGGTCACATCAGATACGATTGTTCCACCTTCTAGTTTTGTTGAATAAGGATCTGCAACATTTGCTTCCATATTGTCATCCAGTACTCTATTTTTGAAAATCCTGCTCTGTATAAAAAAAATAATGTTAGTTTTGTTTGTACTTGATCATTTGGTGTTTGATTACATGTGCTGAAATACTTTTGAGATCTTATACGTAACTTCATCTTCTTGTCACAGGTAATTCATGGCTAATAGTCGATCCATCAAAGTTGATCTATGTCCTTGGGAGCCCTTCTGAAGAAATTAGTACTGTCATGGGGGCAGCTCTTAACCTGGCTGATTTTCCAGTACCACAATGGACCATTGAGAAGCTTCCTTGAAGCTAAATTCTTTTCCAGAAAATACAAACTTCTATCACGGGCTGGTACTGCTGAGCTCTCATTCCCCTCCATTCGAACTGGATGTTATACCATGCACGTTAGATGCTCTACCAAACAGTGGCTTCAGAATAACATGTCGGCTAGTTTACCGAGGTCAATATGATTACCACTCTTTGTAGACTCATTTGCTTACAACAGTGTAACTCGATGATAGTGTGAAGCCACAAAGGGTCTCTTTGTGGGATTTATTAATCATTAGGCATATTATAATCTGCCACACGGGAATTCTCAAGATCATCTAGGAAGGATTCTAGCCAGACCATGGTTCTACCATGAAGCCTCCCAAAGGAAGCTAGAAGCTCATCCAAAGGAGTGTATCTTGTCTTCTGTTGGGGTGTTAAAAGACAGCGTACTTTGCTGGCTGTTCGATTCCCTTTGTTTCAGTTCCTGGATTGTCAAAGAAGACATGGGTTTTGGCTGTTTTAGTTTATTTTTGCATGATGTTTGTAGTCATAACCTCAGACATATGACCCCAATTGTACCATGGCTCTCTACATATGATCCATCCACATTGGGCTTGATGCATCCCCTCAATTGCTGGACATTGAACATTGTTGACATGGGAAGTTGGGGGTAAAGCTTTTTTGCTTCAACTGTTGCGCCCCAGGGGGTTGTAAGCTCCTGACGGAGAAGATCTAAAGAAAACGAGACAATGAACAAGATGTGATGGCGGAACCAGGGATCCCACAACTATTCCAAACACAAACTTCCTGCATGATCGAGTCTCAAACCTACACGATGGGGCTTTGCAGGACCATTTCAAGAACTACACGATGTTTACCAGGCGCATATAACTCATTGCCAGGAGTCTCAAACCTATAAAGTTCCTAGCAAGGAGTTCACCAGCCTCGAAGGTAATATCATCACAAGGAATGACGAACGACCAGAGTCAAACAACAAGTCAAAACTTCAAGCACTTGAACAAAATATCCAACGTCTCAAATCTTCTATCAAGAAGTCATGGAACATCATGAACAGTAGATAACAATAAGCTAAAGCAAGACTTCCCAATATGCTCTCAGCAGATATGTATTAAGTTCTAACTGATCGATACGACAGACAGGGGGTTTAGTCCTCATCCTCCACAACCTTGGTACCCAAACCTTTAAGACCTTCCTGGGGAACTTCAGCAACTGTGACCAGAGAGTACAGCTCCTCCTTAGCGTCCTCCTCGTCATTCCTCTTGCGGGCAATCCTGACACGGACTCTCCTCGGGACACTCCTGATGCCACTGCTCCAGATGTGCTTGTTGAGCTTCACGTCAATGCGGACATCGTTGGTTCCCATGGCCTTCTGTGCAAACTTCCTGATCTCCTTGATGGCATTTGGTGCCTTCTTCTTGAAGGTGCTGTTCAATAGAATGAAGCTACCATTAGTGATTGATATAAATAGAGGATTTTGTAACCAGAAAGAAAGCATGAGAAAGATAGATGAAACATTACGACATAAGCAACATAGAAATGTAATATATAAAACACAAAACAAAACAAAGCAAGTGGAGAAAATATATTTCATCTCAATGTAGTGCCCAAATGGAACACATGACAGCATATGAAGGCAGCAAGTGTAACGATGAGTAGCATCTATGTACCGGTCATGTAACTGTATCAACCACAAGATTTAAAGACAGATACCTGACTATGACCGGGCATAATGGACAATCTATAAGATCAAATGACAACCTAGTTTCAATGTAGAGCCCATATGTAACACATGGCAGCATATGAAGGCAGCAAGTGCAACGATGAGCAACATCTGTGTACCGGGCATGTAACTGTATCAACCACTAAATTTATAGACGGATACCTGACTATGACCGGGCATAATAGACAAGAAAGATCAAATGATAAAATCTAGTTTTAGTGTAGAGCCCAAACAGAACACGTGGTAGCATTTGATGGCAACACATGTAACGATGAGCAGCATCTATTTACCGGTCATGTAACTGTATCAACCACAATTTTAAGACAGATACCTGACTATGAGCAGACATAATGGGCAGATTATATGATCAAATAGATAATAATGTTTAGTTTTAATGTGGCGCCCAAATGGAACACGTGAAAGCATATGGAGGCAACACATGTAACGATGAGCAACATCTATTTACCGGGCATGTAACTGTATCAACCACAATTTTAAGACAGATACCTGACTATGACCGGGCATAATGAGCAAATTATATGATCAAATAGATAATAATGTTTAGTTATAATGTAGCGCCCAAATGGAACACGTGAAAGCATATGGAGGCAACACATGTAACGATGAGCAACATCAATGTACCGGACAAGTAACTGTATCAACCACAATTTCAAGACAGATACCTGACTATGTCCGGGCACAACTGATCAATAAACTTACTAGATTAACAAACAAACAAATAGAAAGCAGAATATACAGCCCAAATGGAACACATAGTAGCACCAAGAGAAGCCATACGTGTAACGATGAGCGGAGTTAATCTCTCGGGCATGTAACTGTGCGAAACCACATGATTTAGAAGGCAGACACCTGACTATACCCGATTAATAACACCTAATAGAATGGCACAGATCGAAGATCCACGTGAAAATAATGTGGGGTCAGATACAAGAGCAGAATCCAAGAGATCGGGATACCGCTCGGTCATGCGATCCCTAGTATCATCTAGCTGGAAGGATTTCGATCCATACAGGTGTGACAGCCATTCACGAGCCCACATAGTGCTCGCAGGCAGCAACCTTTCACACCAGCATCTCCACCAGGAGGGCCCGTAAGCGCCATGGCGACACCCCGTGAAGCCCGGAGGCGGAATCTGACTAGCGGATCTACCGGGAGCGCGGAGCTCGGGAATGGAGGGGGCGGGTGAGGAGGGAGTATACCATCCATGGAGGCGCTTGTGGAGGTTGACGGTGTACTCGCGTGTCACCACCTCGTCCTTGCGCGGGCCGGGGGCGCGCTTCTTCTCCGACATCTCCGACGGCCTCCTTTCGCCCTGCTCCTCTCTTGGCTTCGGTGGAGGCTGCGGCGAGAGGAGATAAACCCTAGTGGGGAACGGCAGGTCGCAAGGGGTCGCGGCTTTATAGCGGGGGAAATTAGGGCTTGCTGGCTGACTGGGCCTCTCCGGGATGTTTCGTGACGGCCCGTTTCAGTAGGCCCTTCGTCCATCTGTTATGTTTTTTTCTTTCTTTTTGTCAGTGAATCTGTTATGAAATTTTAGTGTGTTTGGTTTTGGGCCCAAGCGAATTCCACCAAAAACTTTGTTGCCGGTAGTTTGATTAATGTTTCTCTCCACATAATTTGGCGAATTCTGGCTGGAAAAATGGAATAACGTTGACCAACGAGCATAGTCAAATCGGGAAAAAAATCTAAGCAAAAGCCAAGATTTAGGCCATGGCCCAAAATTGGTACGGCTGAATTGTTAATTATTTCGACACACTAGGTAAACTTTTTTTTGGAGGATAGGATTGGAAATTGAGAGGAAGCAAATCGTCCAATTTGCTATTATTCCTCTTGAACTATTTTTTTTATGGAGCGAACAGTCTAACTTGCTTCATTCAATTAGTCAACTGGTCAATATGCCCATTGATGCTTTAGAATTTTGATATTAGCATGGCATTCAACAAGGCTTAACAGAAAATATATGTAACAAAATGCACACGGTGAGTGACTCTTGTACCGCTGCAATCAAATTGAAGTTAAGAGTCAAATATGTAGAGGTAAGATTTACTTTTTAAATATATTTTTGAAACGCGGTTCCTTACAGCCCGATTCATTAAAAAGGGTTGAAGAGAATTGCCCGGTTAATGAATGGAAACCCGGGCTAAAACCATTACAACATGCCCACAAGAAAGGGCACCCGCCGACTTGACTGCCCACAGGACCCACACACACTGCCGAGAAGAGGACACCGTCGAGGTTCCCTACAATGTCATCGTCATCACTTCTCCTCGAGCAAGCGACTTCGACTTCTTCGCGGACGACTCATCGAGACGACTCCGAACGAACGACACATGAGAACAAAGTCGGCCTATGCCAAACAGTCGGCCAAACGCGTCGAGGACTAGCCAACTCCGACTTCGGCCACAGACTCGTAAAAGAAAGAAACACGCCTTGCTCCAACATAGCTAGAACTGCACATCAACCTCCATCGTTGTCGCTGCATTGCCCCGCAACGCTACAGCTCTGACTTCTCACTGAATTACACGTCGAACGGTCGATGACGAAGGACTAGCATCGACTCTGCTCCTCAAGCCACCATTATCGTTGCCACATGAGTCGCAATCCCACCGGGGCAAGACAGCTGCCCCGCCACCTGCACTCGCATCACCCATCGGGCACTGATGACCCACAAGTATAGGGGATCTATCGTAGTCCTTTCGATAAGTAAGAGTATCGAACTCAGTGAGGAGAAGAAAGAAATGACAAGCAGTTTTCAGTAAAGTATTCTCTGCAAGCACTGAAATTATCGGTAACAGATAGTTTTGTGATAAGGTAATTCGTAACGGGTAACAAATAACAAAAGTAAACAAGATGCAGCAAGGTGGCCCAATCCTTTTTTAGCAAAGGACAAGCCTGGACAAACTCTTATATAAAGGAAAGCGCTCCCGAGGACACATGGGAATTATCGTCAAGCTAGTTTTCATCATGCTCATATGATTCACGTTCGTTACTTTGATAATTTGATATGTGGGTGGACCGGTGCTTGGGTACTGCCCTTCCTTGGACAAGCATCCCACTTATGATTAACCCCCCTCGCAAGCATCCGCAAGTACGAAAGAAGAATTAAGGTAAACCTAACCATAGCATGAAACATATGGATCCAAATCAGCCCCTTACGAAGCAACGCATAAACTAGGGTTTAAGCTTCTGTCACTCTAGCAACCATCATCTACTTATTACTTCCCAATGCCTTCCCCTAGGCCCAAACAATGGTGAAATGTCATGTAGTCGACGTTCACATAACACCACTAGAGGAAAGACAACATACATCTCATCAAAATATCGAATGAATACCAAATTCACATGACTACTTATAAGAAGACTTCTCCCATATCCTCAGGAACAAACATAACTACTCACAAATCATATTCATGTTCATAATCAGAGAGGTATTAATATTCATAAAGGATTTGAACATATAATCTTCCACCGAATAAATCAACTAGCATCAACTACAAGGAATAATCAACACTACTAGCAACCCACAGGTACCAATCTGAGGTTTTGGGACAAAGATCGGATACAAGAGATGAACTAGGGTTTGAGAGAAGATGGTGCTGATGAAGATGTTGATGGAGATTGACCCCCTCCTGATGAGAGGATCGATGGTGATGACGATGGTGACGATTTCCCCCTCCCGGAGGGATGTTTCCCTGGCAGAACAGCTCCCCCGGAGCCCTAGATTGGTTCCGCCAAGGTTCCGCCTCGAGACGGCGATGCTTCGTCCTGAAATCTTTCTTCTGATTTTTTTCCAGGGTGAAAGACACCTTATACCAGAAGATGGGCATCGGGGGCCTACTAGGTGGCCCACGAGGCAGGGGCGCGCCCTCCACCCTCGTGGCCGGTGGGTGGCCTCCCTCTGGTGCTTTCTTCGCCCAATATTTTTAATATATTTCAAAACTGACTTTCGTGGAGTTTCAGGGCTTCTGGAGTTGTGCAGAATAGGTCTCTAATATTTGCTCCTTTTCCAGCCCAGAATTCCAGCTGCCGGCATTCTCCCTCTTCATGTAAACCTTGTACAATAAGAGAGAAAAGGCCTAAGTATTGTGACATAATGTGTAATAACAACCCATAATGCAATAAATATCGATATAAAAACATGATGCAAAATGGACGTATCAACTCCCCCAAGCTTAGACCTCGCTTGTCCTCAAGCAGAAGCCGATATCAAAAAATATGCCCACATCTTTAGAGATAGAGGTGTCGATAAAATAAAATACGGACATGAGGGCATCATGATCATTCTTAGAATAGCAACATATATATATTGTCATATGATTTCTTATGCTAAAGTAACAATCTATTCACAATGTAAAGTATGAATCAGAAACTTCATTGAAAAACTAGCAAACTATAACAACATCGGAAAGAGTCAATATAAGAGCTTTTCAGCAAGTCCACATACTCAACTATCATTTAGTCTTTCACAATTGCTAACACTCACGCAATACTTATGGGTATGAAGTTTTAATCGGATACAGAGAAAGTTAGGGGCTTATAATTTTGCCTCCCAACCTCTTACCTCAAGGGTAATGTCAACAATAATGCTTTATGAAAACCCACATCCAATTGGATATATATATCGGGATCTTTCCAACACATAGTGCTTGCCAAAGGATAAAGTGTAAAAAGGAAAGGTGAAGATCACCATGAATCTTGTATAAGGTATAAGACAAAAATAAAAGATAGGCCATTCGCAGAGGGAAGCAGAGGTTGTCATGTGCTTTTATGGTTGGATGCACAAAATCTTAATGCAAAAGAACGTCACTTTATATTGCCACTTGTGATAGGGACCTTTATTATGCAGTCCGTCGCTTTTATTTATTCCATATCACAATCTCGTATAAAGCTTATTTTCTCCACACTAATAGATCATACATATTTAGAGAGCAATTTTTATTGCTTGCAACAATGACAACTTACTTGAAGGATATTCAATCCATAGGTAGATATGGTGGACTCTCATGGCAAAACTGGGTTTAAGGATTTTTGGAAGCACAAGTAGTATCTCTACTTGGTGCAAAGAATTTGGCTAGTATGAGGGGAAAAGGTAAGCTCAACATGTTGGATGATCCATGACAATATAATTTATTTTGGATATAAGAAAACATAACCCATTACGTTGTCTTCCTTGTCCAACATCAACTTTTTAGCATGTCATATTTTAATGAGTGCTCACAATCATAAAAGATGTCCAAGATAGTATATTTATATGTGAAAACCTCACTTTCTTTATTACTTCCTATTAATTGCAACGATGACCAAAACTATGTTTATCAGCTCTCAACAACTTTTATTCATCATACTCTTTATATGTGAAGTCATTACTCTCCATAAGATCAATATGATCTCTTTATTTCTTTTTATTCTTTCTCTTTTTCCTTTTATTCCCTCAAGATCATAGCAAGATAACCAAGCCCTCGACTCAAGACTAATATTTATTATATATAGCTCACGGGCTCGATTACATAGGTAAGGATCAACACAAAAACTCAAAGCTAGATCATACTAAACTTTATTCTATTAGATCAAGATATAACCAAAAGGATCGAACTAAAAAACGGTAAAGATAGAAGTGTGATGGTGATACGATACCGGGGCACCTCCCCCAAGCTTGGCAGTTGCCAAGGGGAGTGCCCATACCCATGTATTTATGTCCCTTTCTTCGGAGTTGGTGATGATGGAGTTGTTGATGAGAAGTTGTGTCACACATCGAGCGTAGGAGATTCTCCAATTTGCGAATAATGCCCTTGAGTGCGGTGATGTATTCTTGCAACAAAATATTTCCAACCTCGTGAACTTCAAAGGTTGCTTAAGCAATCATCAAAACCACTTCAAAGAGTGCCCCGAAATTTCTACCGGGGAGTCAAGACGAAAACGTGTCCAACCCCTATGCATAAGTTCACGAGGTCACGGAACTCGCAAGTTGATCACCAAAACATACATCAAGTGGATCACGTGATATCCCATTGTCACCACAGGTAAGCACATGCAAGACATACATCAAGTGTTCTCAAATCCTTAAAGATTCAATCCGATAAGATAACTTCAAAGGGAAAACTCAATTCATCACAAGGAGATAGAGGGGAGAAACATCATAAGATCCAACTATAATAGCAAAGCTCGCGATACATCAAGATCGTGCCAAATCAAGAACACGAGAGAGAGAGAGAGAGAGAGAGAGAGATCAAACACATAGCTACTGGTACATACCCTCAGCCCCGAGGGTGAACTACTCCCTCCTCGTCATGG